TTTATTTTCTATAAGAATCATCCATCGCGCGAGTTTACCGACGATCCAAGCTGTTGCCTCTGCACTCTGACCCTTCCTTACACCTCGTTCTAATGGTTCTACGTATAGTTCGGGCCGAAATATAGCGAGGACGTAAACTAAACTCTTGAGGGTTGGGACCGACCACTGCTGCGGCACTTTTAGGGCCATACATGAGGGTGCCTTTTTGTGCCCGTAACTGCACTACCTTTTATCAATTTCTAGCAGGTAAATTAAGATATTAAAGACTTGAATAAGACCTTTACCTGTTACGATACCTCTAAAAATGGCGACACTAGATAAAACATTTCTTCGTACGGCCCTGACTATGGTCTAAGGTCCCTAGGTGCTCGAAATTCTGTCAATTCTCTTGTTTTGGGAGCTGAAACGTGTAAACCTTGACATCTACTAGACTTTACGATCTCGCTATATCGTGGGCCGGACTATACTTCCCGAACTGACACGCTTTCTGATCAGTCAGCGTTATAGTTGCAAAATTGGAGAAAAATGCAATAGGAAAAATGACCAATAACTTTGGAAACGAAAAAACCTCCCCAATAATTTTCGTGTTTGATTTTTCCCGAGAGACTTGTTTTCCTCTGATCCGTCGCGAGTCGCGCGATCGAGCTTCGCCTACAGCGTCGCGAGAAAGCTGAAAATCGATAAGAAAAAAAAGAAAGACGACGTCGCCCGCCTGGCCGCTATCGGAACGGGGCGATCGATCCGCGATTAGGCCGACTCGCGAGGTCGTTCGCGTAATCGGGTCGAGATCAAAACAGCTTCGCTCTAAAGACGCGTCGCTGACGTTCGGGGCGTTGATTATTTTCAGAGTAGGCACGCGGTCATCACGTTTCTGACGTTCGACGAATGCTTGACCGTCTCGACTCTCGTGAAACAACAACGCGAGAAACTCGAGCGTCCTCGAGGTTTACGATACCCTCGGAAAACGAGAATCTAGCTATATTGTTCCGACGGACACTATGTATCCACACGCACGCACGCACGAGCATCGTGTATCCGCTCGAGAACGATCGCTTCCGGCCCGTTTCCCATCCGCTTCTCCACGAACGTTGGGATCCCCGTGATAGCTCCAGAGTCCCTCTCGATCCTTCGATCGTCGAGTTCATTGACGCTCCGATCGCAAAGTAAACGAAATCAAACTCGCGATACACACTTTCCACAAACGTCTATTTCAGCTATCCTCACGAAATTTTATCGTCGTCGTATAAAAATACGATCCTACGAGTGAAACTAATATTCAAACAGTGTACGATTGTCTACTTTATCGTGGTGAAAGTTTCTTTCGTAACGATCAAAGTAGTCAACAAAAATATAAAATGTTCGATCGTTGATAAAATATAAGTTAAGATATGCTTGCAAAGATGGAACGATTAGAAACGATACAGTGTACGAATATTAATTTTATTCACTGTAATGTTTACGTCACACGTTGTGACGGTCAAATAAGCTTGCACCACTTTCAAATCACCCTCTGTACAGTGAGAAAAAGGCGTCATCTTGAAAATCGGTGTTTGACGGTGTGTCGCGCGAGATCCAGCGATCGATCAATCGTTCCTCGATTCGAGATCCCCGCGAGTCGCGGTGCTACTTACTGGCCACTGTTTCGCGTTTCGAGGGTGGAACGCGTATCGTCGAGCGTCCTCGGCGTCGCGGCGCGCTTCGTTGAATCGAATTTCTAGGATTCGGTGGCCGTCGTCGAAAGAGAGAATCCGCGCGACCGAGTTTGCGCGCCAGTCGACTTTCTCCCGTTCGGCGCTCTCGCTTTCGTTCGAGGTCGCGCGTATCCGACGCGATGCGACGCGACGCACGGCGTCGAACAAGTATCGACGACCGCGAGAAACGCGGCTACGACCGAGAGAGATACGCGTGAACGCGCATGCGCAAAACCAGCACGCCGCCCTTTGCGGAAAACCTTTCACTCTCGACCGCCTGCGACGAGTAACCCTGTTTTTTCGGGGGTGATAGCTAGTCAGGCTGCTGTTGGGGGGTGGTGGGTGGCTGTGGTGGTGGTGGTTCGCTCGTTATCCTGTCTCGGACGCCCACCGGTTTCTTCGAAAAACCAATGAGATAGCAGAAGCGTGGCCTTCCGTTTCTCATCGATCTATTCTCCCCCACGACTCGCAGTGGGCCAGGGTTCTGAATTTTAGGTTGCTCAAGGCTTTCGACACGACGCATTATTCAACACTTTCACTGCCAGACCAATACCCCGTCAACGTTTCAACTGAACAATTTCATACGCGATTGGAAACAGCAATGTTGTATCGTACTGATCCCCGAGTTCTCCGTTCCGACTTTAATTCGAAATTAAATCAAACTTTTTACCGCGGTTGGAAATTTTATGTCCAAACCTCGACTGAACGTTCGTTCAGAAAAACGTATTTACAATAAATATAGTCGAAAAACGTACATCTCGTTTCATAATTACGATACGTCGATTACGATACCAGCCGTTACGCAACAAATTGCCGGGTTTAAAAAAGTTCGGTATGTGACGCAACGCAACCTTCTGGCTACTCCGGCGTACACTGATATACAACCGTTGACAATAAGGGCGATGCAATTTCGTTCGATTATCTACTTTCCAGCGACAAAGTCCACGAACATGTTTCGGGGAAAAAAGTACAAATATATATATAATATATATATAAAATATATTTCCAAAAGTATTCGACTCGTCGATGTACAGTAATCCCCCCTATAACACGGTACTCTTATAACGCGATTTCATGTGCCTCGTATAACATGTGTTTCCCCCCAATATAACGCGGGGATTTCCCACTGTTATTTCTGTACTGTAAAATTTATGATGATTCGTACAGTTCATGATCAATCTCACGTTCGCTGTTTCTTAGTTACGTATGAACGCGTTTTCCTATAACGCAGGAACCGATCTACAGTGTTATAGGGGGGATTGTTGTATCACTAATTTGTATTCCATTCGTAATAAATAGACTGCGGATGTGTATGCATTTATGGGAAATTTTAATTTTCAAGAAACTACAGAATTCAGTTAATATGCAAGAATATAAAAAATACTTAAAGTAAGGTACGAATTATTATATCTAGGGGTAGAGACAACCCTCTGCAAAGCTCCAGTTTCATTAATTTTATTAATAAAAATATGAATTTGCATCCGCAGTTCAAAGCGCCATGGATCACGCTTTACTCTTGCAAAATGGTATTCGCTAACCCTTTGGACTCCGAATTCTATTTCAATCTTGTCACAAGCAGCTCCCAAAGCTTTTAAGTGTTTTATTTGAAATTTACCTGTTAGAATATCTGTTTTATTTACACTGTTGTATTTTGTAATTTTTAATTTTCAAGTGTATATCTCTTTGGTTTGGACTCGAAAAAATGTCGAGTGGGAGTTTGACGAAGGAGCTTCCTGAGATAAAAATTGACGTCGAATCACAACTCGAAAGAGTAGAAAGGAGGGGAATAACTGGAGTAAGGAACAGGAAACAGGTAGAAGACGAAAATAGAGAATTTAAAAATTAAAAATAGAAGATAAATGGTTTTACTACGAAACCGATAGTGCCAGTATCGCAAAGGGTTAATTGGCCCGTTGTATCGTGTAAAAGTACTGGATATTTTCCATATATTTTAATTGGAGAAACGTTCGAAGCTGCTGGTCTCTACGCCGGGAGAATAATAACGTCGAAACGTATCCAGCCAGCGAGGCTGGATCGACCAAACTAAAGAGGCGCTCGTGGAGGGTAGCCACGGGCAACGAAGGGTGTCAGGGACCTCTTTATATGGGCCAAGCAATTCCGCTTGGTCGACTATATCCTCTTACTTTCGGAGGGTCCAAGCGTACGGGGACGCGTGTTACGCGACCTGCGGTCTCCGAGAGGACGAACGGAGATAAAGGGAACGTAGAGATGGGTAGATTCTTTAAATTACCCAAGGGGTGGAAACGGAAATATGAGCCGAGATACGATACCAGTTTTATTTGCTTGTCGACGAATCAACGCTATCTACCGGGGATACCAGTACGTCTGTGTATTCGTCGATTAAAAAACCCATTTATACGAGCTGTGGCAAAAAGTTTCCAATCGCATACATCGATAAAAAAAATGTACGAAAATATTCGGATTTTGGAAACGATAGAATATTGTTCCGCGTAGATGGGCGGAGTCTGTTTTCTGTAATTTCGTAAAACATTTCTATCGAAGTGTTACGCTCGGTAACGAAAATATATGCAAGCCACGCGGCGTCGAAAGTGCTAAACGCGTACGCTAATCGCAAGTCATCGCGCGATCGTGACGCAACAGAGATCTAGAAACTCTTGACGACGCAAGCTTTTGCGGCGAATCGACCACGTTGCGTCAGTAAATCGATTCCACCTCCCCCCTACCTTCGCGCCCTTATCTCCCGTGTGCGAGGATGAAACGCCAAAGGGAACGGGGAAGACCATGGCAATTTCTGGCGGTAAATATCCCGATCGTAAACCGTGACAATCGGGAAGCATCTTCCACAAACGAGAGATAAAAAAGAAAAAGCAGTGAAAGTCGCCCAACTTGAGGAAAAATACTCTAGGGACACTTACCTTGAGCGATCGATCTGGTTCGAGGAGTCAAATATCAAACGAAAATATTTCTTTTCACCGCCTTGTAAAAAACATGTCAAACTAATAATACTGATACACTAAAAAATATGCTGCCCGAGCTTCGATACAAACATATTACATCATCGAATTAACAAGATTTCGTTGCGAGCTCCATTATGTAATTAGTTCGCGTGTGTTTGTTTAAACACGCTTTCTTAAAAATCAGAAATGAAAATAAATCGATAAGACGATTAAATATTTACCCACTGTGTGCGTTTACGTGGGTCTCGTGTGTAGAGAGTGTGGCTCGTCTATAGAGAAACCACGATATTCGAGTTTCGGTTTCAAATATCGTCGAAAAGTTGAAGAAGCGATGCACAGTAAATGTTAATATGAATATGGATGGTCCTACCTTAAAATGTAGTTCACGCAAACAACGGACAATGGCTTCTGCTGTTTCAAACAGTGAATAAGGGTGGCCTGTGTCACCACCCACGCGTATCCTCCGCGTTTCCCCAGGAATCTGTACGCGACCGTCTCGCATTGGCCCTTGCTGAACACTGAAACGACACGAAAGAGGAATCGGTCAGTGATCCCGCGAGGACTAGTGCATCCTGCGCTACGCGGCCCTATATATACCATCGATGCTCGCTGTGCATCCTGCGCACGCAGCGCACTCAGAATTACGAAATTTACCCGTGAAAATGATCAACCTCATCTGATCCAACATCGAGACTTGACCCATTTGATGCAATTCTTGGATGAGTTTAGTATAAACTGACAATTTGCTCGAATACTTTCCAAATTATTAAGTATGACAATGTAACGCGTCGTTAATAAATACAAAACTCATTTATTGCGAATATTAAAAATACCATTTGACAAACACGCGCGAGTCTTGTGAATTGGAGAGTGGGCTGTCCCAGCAATCGCGTTTATTTAAATGTCGAGCAATTTACTCCTACTTACGTGATTTGAAAGACTTGCCCAGCGTCATATTGTCGAGGGCGTGATAGAACTCGAAAACCGATTGGCCCATTAGATCCTCGCTGTTCCAGCCCAGATACTCGGCCAACCTGACGGGAACAAAATGGTCATACATAATTAATAACCGACGGTCGTCAAGTTACATCCGATGAGACCAAACAAAAGAGGTCCCTCGGGTAGTTCTTTATAGTTTACTTACTTCTCGTCGGCGTAGGTGAACTTCATGCTGAGATTATGCTTGGAAAGGAAAGTGTGACGTCCCAAGGGAATCTCTATGTTGCTAGGATGCGGTATGGGACATCCCACTAGTATCAAACAAGCACCCGTATTAGATTCAACGATATCATCGTCCTCGTTTCTGCGCTCCTCGTCGTCGCTTTCCATACAACTCGACACAGGGTTACTAATGTACGTTAATCTGCCGATGCAGTGGATCACCTACAGCGGAAGAGTACATTTTTGTTCCTTTTCATCGTGACAGGCGGTTTGCGACCGAGTCAAATTACAAAGCTCTCAACAATACGGGTGTACCAACCTTGTACGAAGCACTCTTCAGGTTGACCTTCCGTCCTTTGTTGGTCAGGGTGCACTTGAGTCGCAGAAAGAAGCTGCAAGAATCGTTTTCTTTGTTCTCGGTTGGCTTGGAGGAGAGACACTCTCGCAACTCTTCGTGATCACAGGGATGACTATACTCGTATACGCTTTGGCCCATCATGTCCAACTGAAACGTAAGAATAAAGTTAATATCATAGAGCCGATCCGTTCTATCCGGTTAATCGCTACCAAAGAGTACATATTTGATGGAAACTCACCTGACAAACGCCAAGATAATCGCTCACGTTCTCCGAAAGATAAACCATACTTCCGTCGCTCGAAAGCACCAGCATGAATCCGTTCAGGGCTTTGGAAAACAGCTCGTGCATTTCGCTGGACGTCTCAGACTTTAGCAATGGCGTCGACACTGGAACAACAAAACCAACATATTTATTATAAAAGCTAATTATAATTTACTACTATTGGTCCATGTATTTCAGGAATTATAACAATTTTAAAACGATTTCTAAGCTTTGTATAACTTTGTGAACCACAGAAATAATTTTATAAAATAAAATAAAACGAATACACGTAAATACACGTTTCTATTTTTCTTTTTTTCCAATATATTTATTAGAAGCTAATTATAATTTAATACTATTTTGGTCCATGTATTTCAGGAATAATAATTTTATAAAATAAAATAAAACGAATACACGTAAATACACGTTTCTATTTTTCTCTTTCTCCAACATATTTATTAGAAGCTAATTATAATTTAATACTATTGGTCCATGTGTTTCGAGAATTATAGAAGTTTTAAAACAATTTCAAAGCTGTGTATAACTTTGTGAACCACAGAAATAATTTTATAAAATAACGTACTAATACACGTAAATACACGTTTCTATTTTTCTCTTTCTCCAACATATTTATTAGAAGCTAATTATAATTTAATACTATTTTGGTCCATGTATTTCAGGAATAATAATTTTATAAAATAAAATAAAACGAATACACGTAAATACACGTTTCTATTTTTCTCTTTCTCCAACATATTTATTAGAAGCTAATTATAATTTAATACTATTGGTCCATGTGTTTCGAGAATTATAGAAGTTTTAAAACAATTTCAAAGCTGTGTATAACTTTGTGAACCACAGAAATAATTTTATAAAATAACGTACTAATACACGTAAATACACGTTTCTATTTTTCTCTTTCTCCAACATATTTATTAGAAGCTAATTATAATTTAATACTATTGGTCCATGTGTTTCATGAATTATAAAAATTTTGAAACGATTTCAAAGCTTTGTATAACTTTGTGAACCACAGAAATAATTTTATAAAATACTTACTTGTATCGACGACCGATCGAACTCTAAGGTACGCGATGGCGAGCCTCATAACGCTGGCCTTGTCCAGATGAGCCGCCTGTTCCGGTGGTACCGGAAGCGCGGCAGCTAGCTCGGTAAAAATGTCCGTCTCCTTGCTTCGACGATACCGCGCCGCGTCGCGAGATTTCTCCTTCCTCTTTTCGTTACTCCTGCAATACAAATCAAATCGCCATTATCTTACGAAATATTTCCCACCGTTTCTAACTAATCACATTAGGGAAGCTCTTAACGATCTGCATTTTACTGAAAATAGTCAGTAAATGCATCTTTCGAACGAAGAAACGAACGATCATCGAACAGAAAAATACAGTAATCCCCCCTTATAACACGGTAGATTGGTTCCGCGTTGTACGAGAATGCTCGTATGACCCCGTATAACGCGTTATGTACAAATGATTCACTTTTCTCGTTAAAGGGGGTTTAAATCGAATATGAACACGTTGACCGCCATTCTAAAATCCTAAAATTGTTTGCTAGACCAGAACTTCGATTTTAGTCAATTTTAAACTACACAACTTAAAAGTTTTCCTAGTACTTCGTAACCTCGTTAAAATTTATGAAGCCTATTAAAATTTATATTCTTTAAAGTTTCGACTTGAGAATTAATTGTTTTAGTTCCACTGTTAAAAGTTCTGTCATCCATATGTGGGTGACGTGGCGGTCAAAGTATTAAGGGAAAACTATGTTATGAACGAAATATGTGCTACTAAGAACATTTAAAATAAAAAACTAATACATATGTAACTAAAAAACAGCGAACGAGAAATTGATCATGAACTGTACAAATCATTATAAATTTCAGAGTACAGAAATATAACGTGGAAAATTCCCGCGTTATATGGGTGAAAACACGCGTTATAAGAGTACCGTGTTATAGGGGGGATTACTGTATAACTTTATTGGAAAATCGAAGGGTCGATTCGTCATCGAGGTAATTTGCGTCACGCGCATCTATGGTCATCGTTACACAAGATTACAATAGCAAATTGCTGGCAATTGTGGACACCGTCGAGATAAAACGACGTAAATATCGCCTCGTAGCTGAGATTTACATCGTTTGCGCCTCGTCACGTCTCGATTATCTCCAACGGTCGTTATCTACTCTACAAAACAACCTTCGGACGATACTCTTTTTTCTTTTTCTCGAAAACGATTCGATTCTACGAAAGGTTCTCTCCGTTGCTCTCACGGAAACGTTCCGAACTAAAACCACTATTTACGTTTCGTATTAAGATAGAAGAATGTGGGTAAAACGACCGCCAAGGGGGGCAGGAAACTTTTCCTCGAAACGAGGGAAACTTTAATCGTATAATGTAATATTTTTGCTAAACTTGTACGTACAGTCGAGATACAGTTTAAGCTTTACATGTAACGCACGCTCACGCATCCGAACAGCCGAGCACTTACAAGTAATCCTCGAGAAGTTGCTCGTCCTGGTTGTAACTGTAACGCCAGTATTCGTTTTGCAGATTCTCGTACGCGCAAGGCGGCAAAGCGCCGCTTTGATCGTACAAGGAGCAACGATCGCTCGCGGGGCACTGCAGCCATCGTTCCTCGGTGCAGAAAGCGAAATTCTCCGGACAGCCGTCGCAGATCTGTTCTCGAAAAACGTCGTTCGGAGGAAAAGATGGCACCTCTTTGGGCGGCACGGTCGTCGGGTAATGGCTGCACTTTGGTCTAGCCCGACGGTAATGTTGCTGACCGACCGGTCGATACTCTCGCGACAATCTGTTCGTTTGCGGTTTATCTTGATCGAAGTAGAGGGCCAAGTCCTCGACGTCGATGGGGCCTAGCTGGCAGTTCCTCGAGGTGGTCGGGGCGTCGTTCGCCGTGCAATATGGAAGCTGTCTGCACGAGGCGGACATGATGGGAACGGGGGGTGGTTCAGCGCAAGAAACGGACACGTCGTAATGACCGAAATTGGGGCTAGCTAGCTGACCAAACGGATTCAATCCTTCCAAGTTCAACGACGCACGGCCGTGGTCGTAGTCGGTGCATTGGCCCGGCTGAGAAGCGAACCGACAGGGTGTTAGAGCTCCCCGATCCTCGTACATGTCAGCATACCCTGACCGTCTGACGATACAATCGGGCCAACGACCGGACTCATCCTCGGGCAACCTATCGATCGGTTGCACACGTGGCACGGTCATCGTCTCCCCCGATGCTTTTTTCCGGCCTGCGACGCGATGGGACGGATCTCCTCTGTGTGTGATTCCCCGCGATTTCACGCCGCTCTAAACACCGTACTCACGCGCCACGCCACACCGCCAACCCCACTTCCCGTTACCCCGTTAGTCGCGCGCCACCACGAATAAAACTTTGGCCCGATTTTACTTGTCCCACAGCGGCCTTCTTTTTTCTTTTTTCTCCTTTCGCCGACCTCCCTCCTGCCGCTCCTCACCCGCCACGTACACCACGGCCACGCGCGTCTGCCTTTCCTCTCTTCTCTTTCTTACTTTTTTTTCTAGTATAGGAATTCTCCCCGCTTGGGAGATACACTTTGTCCAGGCCGCTAACCAAACAGAGACACTTCTTGCGTCGTATTAAAGATCAAACGCGTTCGTCTTAACGTGCACGAACCTTTCGTCTCACGATCAGAAATCGATTCCATGTAGAGACTTTCTCTAGACCCCATGGTTCCCACGAAAAATACGTTTCATCATTCCCTGTCCTTCTTCGACGAAATAGAAGCTTTGTTGGTAGCGATAAGTAACGCGATACTACTGACACTCTGAACGCAAAGTATTTTTTTTGTCGGGGCCGCTACGTACGATAACTATCTTTTAATGATAACGATATTACCTATCGTCCGATACAGCGATAGCTCTTTTTCGCTTTCGATTGCTGGACAAATCAAATTTAATCTTCCAAACCGCTTAACCCTGCCTCTTTTTCTCAGACAGTTACCGTGATTCATTTGAGGAACTTTTTCAAGATACACGGAATTTCTACATATTCTTCACCCAAAATACGCGTTGTCTGCATTTTGAAACATTAAAATCCTCCAATCCGTTCAGAAGTTATGATGTTTTAAACAAACGCATGAAATTTCTAACCTCACATTATATTTTCGGAAAAAGAATTTTTTTCTCGAAAGTGCATAGGATTTCAAGGTTACGTCTATTGACCAAAAATGATCCCAATTGACCCCCGCATCCGTAAATAATTTTTCCAAAACGATTTGAAATATTTCAATTTCGCCGAAAATTCTGTCTACCTACTCGAATTTTTTTCTCGAAAGTACGTAGGATTTCGAGGTTATGTCTATTGACCAAAAATGATCGCAATTGACCCCCGCATCCGTAAATAATTTTTCCAAAACGATTTGAAATATTTCAATTTCGCCGAAAATTCTGTCTACCTACTCGAATTTTTTTCTCGAAAGTACGTAGGATTTCGAGGTTATGTCTATTGACCAAAAATGATCGCAATTGACCCCCGCATCCGTAAATAATTTTTCCAAAACGATTTGAAATATTTCATTTTCGCCGAAAATTCTGTCTACCTACTCGAATTTTTTTCTCGAAAGTACGTAGGATTTCGAGGTTATGTCTATTGACCAAAAATGATCGCAATTGACCCTCGCATCCGTAAATAATTTTTCCAAAACGATTTGAAATATTTCAATTTCGCCGAAAATTCTGTCTACCTACTCGAATTTTGTTCTCGAAAGTGCGTAGGATTTCGAGGTTATGTCTATTGACCAAAATTGATTGTAATTGACCCCCGCAAGTAGGAATAATTTTTTTAGAACGATTAAACGGGTATAGTGCGCTTTAGGCTTGCCTATCGATCGTTCGATGAAGTAACGACCTTGATCGACTCAACTATCCCACGTAAGTAAACGCGGAAACGAAAACCGACTCAAATCATCTCCTAAACAAACCGAACACGGACCATTGTTTACGAAATGATAGTTGGAAATGTTTCAATTGCATCCTTGAAATGATTTCTGCGACGTGTGGATGTAAGGACGTGTATCCAATTGCAATGAACCGGGGACCTGCATGATCTACGCATACTACCGTTCGTAGAGTCTCGCTACACGTACCATGTTTTAATTTTACAAGGAAATACCTCTGCAACAAGGCCAAATAATTGGTTATTTTCCTATAGGGGTGCTTTTTTATTACCAGGTATAAGCAATAAAATTTTATGGTTACCCACAAATTCTTACAGTTTTCGGACTTCACAGCTTTAAATATATATTTTGCCTTTTAAAAGAACCAATGGCTATAGTTTGAATGCACCTGAAGTTATCTGATATGCATTTGTCAAGATACAGGTTACCGTTTATAATAAATGTTCATCGGTGCTGTTATTACACTTGAAAAAGGAAAAATGTCAATTGGGAAAAATTCACAATTATCGCATAGTGTGTCCTTACAAATGAACGTGTACACTAACGACGCAAATAGGTCAACCGAGCGATTCGGAATTTCGGTAGATATAAAAAAAAATATAACGATGCGTGCTTATTAGTCTATCTAGCACGAAAACATATAACAAACTTTGATACATAGTAGACGATATTAATGTGCTTTATCTCGGTGGTTTCTTTGATTATACGACGGTTTCGAATCATCATACACGGTACGCGTGACACTAGCGCTCCGGATTTATCTAAATTTCAATAGTTCTCGGAAAACGACGCAACTATTTTTACGTTCGACGAAGAAACCAGTAGAAACTCGTACGGAAGGTCGTAAATTTGTTTAACGGTAACAGTTTTTGGGAAGAAAAACATTTCTAGGTTATGGTGCAATTCTTTCGCAACGTTAACGCCACGAATACTACCAGCACCGTTTTAACGAACATTGCTTGCAATCGTGTTAGAATCGACGGTTGGAATTAGACGGACGAAACGAAAAAAACAACAAATGCAGAGTATTTAACGCGCCTTGTACGTTTTTATTACAACGCGCAAGACAGAGGCTTGCTCTTTGGCCTTGGAATGGAACTATCCCAAAGAAATTCGGGTATCGCAAGGACATCTATGTCGAATGCAATGGGAAGTGGACTCCATGCACTTATCTCCGCTCGAACGGCGCGGCGATCCGTTTAAAATGAAGAAAAGAGAAATCGTTGTCGAGTCCCCACCCAAAAGTTTTTCAGGCGCCACATCTTTTGCTGGATAATAACGCGAGGAGCTGAGAAAATACATCAAGTTTAAATCAATCTGACGTATTATCGTTCCACGCTGCGTACAAAAATTTTGCAGAGTATTCTGCTTGTTTGTTTTGTACGTGTATCGCATGCGCGCCCATAGACGGGGAAACAAATAAAAAGAAATTGAATTATTACAGAGGCATAAATGATCATGCAACGAGAGAGGAGGGGGAAGGAAACACTGTCGAATATGAACAGAAGAAACGTAAGAAAAAGAAGGACGAAGAGAGGGCCGTCCAACTCGGAGGAAACGCGATTGCGTCAAATACGTACTCACTTACTCACTCACTCACTCACGCACGTAACGCAACGTGCGCGCGCGAGTCACAGAATTTGTTCCTCGGTGTTGGACGATTCCAAGTTCCCGGGACACTCGTCCGCGAACGATGATACAACGAAATAAAATGCAACGTCGTGTGCAACGGGACGTTTCGAGTTGTCGGTAAATATCGTTGGAAACGCGATGTGTGCAGTACCACAACGTCCATACGGATGTGCCGAGCTTGCACTACTGGGCACGATTCACTCACCTTCTTTTCTCCTTGTGTTTCTTCTCTTTTCTCGACGGCTCCATGGCACGGTGGAGAATTCTTCAGACGGTACACTGTCGAGACACTCTCGGTCACTGCCAAGGAACGTATCCAGCGTGTACGTCCACCCCGAAAATTGTCGTGATTCTTCTCGTTCACAATTTGCCTCCTACTGTACTTTGTTCGCACGGGCCCGTTCTCGTGTTCTCAGCTTGTTATCAAAATCGATGCACCCGATATACACGATCCGCACAGTACGCGTCGCCCACGGCTCGTTTCGTTCGCGTTAACGTATCGAGACGAAAACAAATTCTTCCATGGTTCGTACGAAACGCCCGATGAACGCCAAAACTCACGATGCGATGGCGATGATGACGATAGCGAAGCTAGTGGTAGTAAATGACCGCGGCGTGGTATAGAGGTTGTATACACAATGCACCGACTGTCCAAATGGTTGAAACGGGAAGGGAAACCGCGGTAGCTGACGTCACGCAGCTTTCGTTCCGTCTTCATAGATACCTCCATCTAACGGCAGAAAAATCAATCAACTTGAACAAGTAAAATCAGACGTGCGCGGATATGTAATCCGAAATTCGGATTTGAACCATCAAAAAAGCCAACGATTGCAACAAAGCTCGACACATATCGAACTAAATTGTGTCGAATGCAAGAATTAATGAACTATTATAATATTGATTTCGGTTCTCGAAACAGTCTCTGATGTAATATCGGTTTCATTATATGTAACATATAGCAATGAATACTACTGTAACCGCATCTACTATCAAATATGAAGCCAAAGTAGAACCGACATCGATATAGAATCGATAGTAGAACCGATATAGAAACAGTTATCGCTGTTATCGTATTCAAATATTGTAAATTACGTCGCGTACGGAAAGATATGTTTTTTTCGTAAAACTATTTATCGATTACCGAGAATAAAATGAGAAATAAATAACCGATCGTACAAGAGACTATTATTTTTCATGATAGCGCGATAATAATCTTGGATGGCTTTGCAGAAGGTCAAGAACGTACATAGTAGAATAACAATATTTATGAATACTTTATTCCTTTTTAACATGCTTTTCCATACAACCTATTACTTGTAAGGACTAGCAGAGATCCTGTTTTTATTAAGTCCCGGTAAAAATTTTTTCTAGATGCCTTGCTACACAATCGTATTCCATTGTTTGTTCACTGGCAAGACAAAGATCGTTCAATTAACGTTAGTCCGTTCAATTTCATTTTTAGTACTAGGATCACCCGGCGGTCTTACTTCCTTTTTCGATTCTAGGTTATCGTGCGTACCGGAAGTATTATTGTCAGTCTCCAAATTTTTATTACGGTCTTCGGTCGGATCGTCCATTTCTTCGTCCAGGTCGTCTAAATTGGTCTCCTTGCTTCCGTACAATGCAGGATACTCGGTCATGCAAGTTTGCATCGTTTTAAACGTTTCGTAGCAGTCCGAGCCTTTCGGGTCTGCGGTGGAGTAATGAAAACAAGAAAAAGCTTCTCGAAATTCCAAACCACATGGACCGGTTGCCATGCCACCGAGACAAGGGCAGTTCCAGTTAATTTCCCCATTGGGTAACAAGAGACCCGGGCTCGGTTCCGGTTCCGGAAGATCTATTTTACTAGGCGTTGCATGATCTTCCTTCGATGCGAATATTATAGTATCTTTACCCTCCTTACGAATTAACGGCATATTTGATCGATCGATACGAACATACAAAGAAATGTACGACCTGTCCCTTAAAACAAAGGCACAAGCAGATTACCCTAGATATTCACCCAACCGCAAATTGTTCTACTTCTTTATTTCTTAGTGTCGATAGTTTCTACTATCTGCGACAAACGATATTAAATTAGGCGAGGCACGATGGACCACGTAAACGCACGATTCTTCTTCGTACTTTACTGCCAGAGTTAAAGCTGCCCTTAGACGTACGTAACAGTCATCCGTGCACCGCAAAATGAATCTGTGCTCGTTTGGAATATACTTGAGAATATCAATGGTACACCTGGTTCCTTCTTCGCCGAATAATTGTCTTACGGATCCAAGGATATTCTTCTTCAAATAGACCTGCGAAACTTGAAGGTTTGGATGTTGCGGAAGTTCTCTAAACACAAAAATACATGTATTTTAGCTAGATAATATTTCGCTGTCGTAATAACATGTAAACGCATAATGATACGACCGATCGATACCACAAATATTTTCTCAACAGATATAGAATGCATTAGTCACAGTCATGCAGAAAAAATAATTGACAATTAATATAAACGAAACCTTTGCAACGTTTTCAAACAAAGGATCGTTTCATTGGATCGCAATCCGCTCGATGGTTCACATTTTAACAAAGCGTCGAAAATACGAAGAAACAAGAAAAAAGCTCATCCCAGGAAATACTTGAAAAACTTCTTACGTTGAATCGTGCAAAAGAACATCGGAGTTTTTAAAAGAACTAGGAATCGTAAACCTTACATAACACACCGATTCAATGATTCGATATAAATCTTGTTTAGATTTTCGCTACACAATGCACATTCTATGCAGTAAAAATGTACTACGTGAATGTAAATATCGCTAATGTACCAAAAGGCGGCATAGGACATAAAATAAAATGAATAAAAAAGAAAACGATGGTATTTCAAAGGCACGAACATGTACTGATGAACTTTTCGCTTTTAGCTTAACGTATATTGACCAATCTTGAAATATAGGTTAGGTTATACAAGTGCGAACATTAATTTGATGAGTGATTAAATATACTAACAGAGAAACGTCTAAGTAATACATAGTACACAGAACACTAACTCGCGACTCACATTGAATATTCGGAAATTCAATACAGCACTTGACGATACTTTGAACAAAGCTCTCCGCAGCATTTCATTCATGCCTTCGCATGCTTTTACAATATGAAAAGCCGATACCATATACGGAGAACAGATGGCGCTTCGATCGTCTGCATCGAGATCTTTAACGCGAAATATACTATGGTTAAAAAATTATACTTTTAATTAAAAGAAACATTCGGGTTGAATTTCTACAACAATGGAAAGTATCTATTAAATTATTATGTCTGAAATATTTAACGATCGAGTTTTTTCTTCTATGCATCCTCCAATACGATTGCCAGAACTCTAGGAAATATTTCAACGCTAAAGCTAGTTACAAACGGATGCAGAAATTGAAGAACGTCGAGAAACCAGCCTTTATCTTGCTAAATCCTGCAAAGGCCTAAGGTGGACTATGAACTTATCGACGTAACACCGAAAGTTAATATACGTTAGAGGATAATCGACTTTAGTTATTCTCGACAACGCTGACGATCGAATATTCGGAATGTTCAAACTGTAACAGTTTCAAGCACTTCCCGTAAATGCATCCGCGCGACTGCCTTCCACGAAACGACTTCCTATTACGCGTATTTTCCGAATTACTACTGCTTTTACACGAATACAGAATACTGCTATGCGTCCATATCGTAGTAATCGATGCAAGCAGAAATAAAGAAATCCCGGTAAAGTAAATTTCATCGAGTTTGGTATATTATTACGCATAGTCACGAAAGCGCAACCTCTTCGCGCAAGGTCAATGCCAATGTCAATACAGAAAGTTAAAAGCCGTTCTAAAGAAAACTTGCAAGTTGCACCGGAAGACCGATCGTTGTTAAAGCTACCATATAAGATCTACTGTAAAACAGAAAATTTAAAACCGTATTCGTTTCGTTTATTTGTTCAACCCTGCATCGATGTTCTGGTTTTATTATCGGAAGAGGAAAAAATACGATCGTGCCCCGAACTTTCGAACGTCGATCGACAATGAGAGGGCCAAGAGGATAATCGTAATACCCAGATGCTTTTCGCTCGGTATTCGGAACATCTGGGCTCCTTCCTTTTCTCCGATGTCGACCGATTTTGACAGGTCGGGGGATACGTGTGCATATTCGAAAGCACGATCCGCGAAAGAATCGACACTTGGGTTACTCGGTGCGTTCGTTTGGTGGACTGCGAGCTCAGCAACCGAGCAGAGCTACCCGAGACCCTTGCGCTTATCCTTTTCACTGTTCCATGGGTCCTGTATACAAGGCCTGTGCATTGGCGTAACGCGTCGAAAATTACCGGCGTGCACCTCGGTTTCGAGGGACCCGAAAAAACCGTTCCGAATCGTACGGAATCCGGAAATAACCCTTTTATCGCGACGGACCCGCGTCTCGCTGTTCGCATTGATTCGATCGCGGTATTTTTTTATTCTCCCACACGCACAAGGCTTAGCGCATTGGCGTGGCAGACGCGAGGGGGGCGCCTCGCCGATAACCGCATCGCTATACACAGGTCGGTGAGAAAAATTCCCGAAGCCCGTGCCGGCGTTCGCCGCGCATCTTAGACGCGCGAGGTTTCGAGCAAAAATTTTGCCTAATGGAAAAGAAAACTTTCGCTCGAGAACCGCGCAAGTTAACAAGGGGAATGTATACGTACCGGCGTCGTCCGGGAGTGTGGCGTAGTAACTCGCAGTACGCTAAAAGGAAATCGCGGGACCGTGCGAAAATTTGCAGCTCAAAAACACCGATACGCCCGTTCGTGTCTTCGTACGGCCGCGAACACCCGTATCTCGCACACGTTGCACTCGGTGACACGATCGAATCGGACTTGTATCATTTAACACTAGATTTACAAAAATCGTCGATTCGACGGATGTCAGATTCCATTTATGTTGAATTTGAAAAATCGTATTTTAAGATAATCGTCAGCATGAAATCAATGCCCGTAAATCTAGTGTTAAAGAGACGATCGATGACACTGATGATTGAAATGCACGCGTTAACGTCGCCGCGAACTCAAAGCGATATCAATCGTTCGAAACGTTTATTATTTTGCATTTTACTATCTGTGAGCTGGTAAGCTACGCGTAAACCCCGAAAGTATAGTATTCTCGAAGAGAATTCTTGAATATTTCGCTCGTTAAACCGACAATTCCCACAGTCGGAATATTGAAATAATATCGGTATTTGTTTCAGTTTTCGGTATAGCTTCGCTGGCGTAATACCGGGGTATCGATATCATACTGGTATTAAGTCCCCGGTTTCGCCAAGTTTTACACGCACGTCCACGACACGTTACGTGTACGGAGTGGGCCACAATTCCCAAGGCAACCATAATTCCATATACCGAAGTTCGATTAGAAACGTGTCATCGAATACAATGGAGAGCTAGTGACGTCACGGTAACTATAATACGGAGAGTGGCATATTCACTGGGATATCATTGAATAACAAAAATAATCGTAAAGTCATCGTATTTATATTTTATGCCGGGCTCTTTAATCGCGTTGCTGGCGTTGGGCGTTGGGTGTTGGGCGCCCTTGCCCCGAGAAACCATTTCTACAAAAACGTTATTGACGACACAGGGAACGCGGCTGCAAAGCGGTAAGAAAAAGAGACAATGACCGGTGTTGGTGGGGGAGGGTTCGAAGACGTATTAAATAGAATGGAAATACACCGTGACAAAAATAACCACGATAAAAGGTGAAATTGCACCAGGAAGCTGTGGTTCCTGTTTTTCAATGCGCCAGGTCGCGCACCTCACGCATGCAAGTTCATACAATCTGAACCAAGAGGTTACGGTCTCGCAAGTTAAAAGATCATCTCTTTCACCGTGTACAAGGCGTTTTAAAACACGTGCGTCGGTAGAGGTAAAACGTGTTCAAAGACAATTTATTATAATTGTTCCCGTTTGTATTTTCAGCGCGATATGAAAATTTTCTTAAAAGAAAATTTCTTTTAAGATTCTTTTTTGAAAGGATCGTGTGAAAGGTAAAATGTAATTTTAAGAGTGGCGCGCAAGCACGATCGCTGCGTATGATTTATTCGATGCGTGCGTTAAATGGGCCCTGCACACACAATGCGCCCAGCAATGGATTAACGTTAGCTACGGCCCTGAGTTGCACTCTACAGTGTGTTTGGCTACCCTTGGTAAAATTTTAATGAGGGATTCTAGATGCCAAAATAAGACGAAAATCAAGAATACCAGTTTGTTGATGAAGGCTTCGTTAAAAAGTTATTAACAATTAAAGTCAAATATTTCAAATCGTTCTGGAAAAATTATTTTTAGTTGTAGGGATCGATTACAATCATTTTTTATGAATAGACATACCCCCGAAATCCTACTCAGTTTCTAGAAAAAAAATCGAGGTGTGACATTTTTCGGCGGAAAAAAAAATTTCAAATCGTTTTGGAAAAAATATTTTCGGTTGCGGGGGTCAATTATAATTATTTTTGGTGAATAGACATAACCCCGAAATCCTACTCATTTCCTAGAAAAAAAATCGAGAAGATGCGAAATTTTTCGACAAAAACAATCTTTCGAATCGTTCTGGAAAAATTATTCTCGATTACAGGGGTCAATTACAATCATTTTTTGTGAATAAACATACCCACAAATTCCTACTCATTTTCTAGAAAAAAATTCGAGAAGTTGCCTAAATTCCATAAAAAAAAAAAATTTCAAATCGTTTTGGAAAAATTATTTTCAGTTACAGGCGTCAATTACAATCATTTTTACTCATTACACATATGCCTGAAATCCTACTCACTTTTGAGAAAAAAATTCGAGAAGGTGTGAAATTTTTCGACAAAATTAAAAACTTGAAATCGTTCTAAAAAAATTATTTTCAATTACAGGGGTCAATTACAATCATTTTTGGTGAATAGACATACTCCCGAAATCTTGCGCATTTTGGAGAAAAAAATTCAGTATGGGCGGAACTTTAAATATTAATAACTTTTTAACGAACCCTCCATCAACAAATTTGTATTCTTGATTTTCGTCTTATTTTGGCCTCTAGAATCCCCCATTATGTTATTATATCCCCCCTGTATATGAATTTTATTTTCGAATTTTATTTTATTTTGAACCAAGTTCAAAGGGATAAAATAAATGTCCACGATTCGAGTGGTGAACCCGTCGATGAGGTGGTCGCGTGTGTGTGCGCGTAGGGCCACCTTTACGCAATCCGATGGAATAAGGAAAACGGAAGAGACAACGCAACGATGCAACGAAAATAAGAAGAGTATCCCCGGTGATCATTAAATTCCGTACACGAGCCGGTGAACTGGTTCTCCTTGACGATACGCACGCGTCATATTGCCGTTAGTAAAATCTGTCGATTCAGTTAGCAGGAAATCACTGTTGCGGCCCCCACTTTCTCGTCTTCCTTCCAGTTTCGCGATAGGAGTATCGGGGCCCCCGGGGGGAGGCACAAACGCGTTATTCTTTCCAGCTTTTAACCCGACAGCGTGGCAGGGACCAACGAAGACACGTATTCGAACAGTGGGCCGCTTAGATTCTGATTAGTCGTTCGTAAATCGAACCCTTCGCAGTCGACGACATCTCGTAATTTACTTCCGGTCGGAAATAAAGCGTATCAAAGATTATTTTAACATGAAATATAAATATATTTGGGTGGTATTGTACAGTCAGTGATTCGTTCGTATATACAGATTTATGTACATGCCGAACACTATATGTATCCTCGAAATACTCTGCGCGTAAACTCACACATGCATACACATTTTACGAGATCGTTCGATCTACACACGTGTTTTGGAAATAATAATCATCCATTCATCCGGATCTACGCATCCATACATCCGATTCTTGGATCCGTGAATCGTTTTCTCACGGTTACACTCTGGTTCACTTATTATCCAGTGTAGTTTTGTTCTTTTTTTTTTTTCTTTAAATCGAGTCGAACGGTATTTGGCGCTCGCTTACCTAATTTTTTTTTTTTACTGTTGTTGCGATTAATTAGGACGTCTGTCGCCGGACAATTCCATTCTACGGGTATAATGGCGCCATTCGTAAGTTCCCTTTTTATAGTTATTCGTCCTGCAGATCGATCGAGGCGGATCTC